TTCTCCTATTCTGGGCGGGCTTCTCTGCTGGTGGGGAATCACATCAAACTTGATGGACGCTCACAATGGTATATGCATTATAGATCTTCGATAGAGGGTCAACTAACAACTTTTGAGGTCAACAAAAGAAAAGAAATCTCACTTCCACCTCAATACGAAAAAACAAACTCGGAGTGGGACCTTGTCGACTAGAGAGGCCTAGACAGTTCACATGTGCATGAAAGGACTCTCAAAAAATGGGTTGAATATGATGGATTCAATGGCGATGCTCCTAATTTAAAGGGCTCGAACTTTGAGCCTCAACTTAACGTTGCCGATCATGGCATCACACTTACAGTTTTCACAAACATGGGCTCTCTATCTCATGGCCTAGAGCAAAAGTGAAATTGACTCTCTTTCTAAGCCTCATGTGGGGAAAGTAATGGTTGAGAGGACCGAAAATCGGAGGAAGGTGAAGCGTTAGAACGTGAGTCATGATCTCTCAAGCTCCAATTCCCAGCCTGCACTCTTGTCTCAATGACAGATGAGGTGCCACACATGTGAGATAATAGAAAGAGTCGAGGTCTCTGACTTGCACAGAGGCACATTATCTCCTCTCAGGGCCTGAAACGTCTTCGAATCGCTCGAAATGACGTGTTTTGTCCCGTCTTTAAGTTCAGAGATCGTGACCTCCTTCATTAGATCACGACCGCGATCTTTGTGTCCCGGGCGCGATCTTTTGTCGCGGTCAAAATACGCCATGCCCGCGATCCGGGTGAGAAAATTCTATGTTTCCTTCTTGGTCTCCTGCTGAGGTTTGTGGCCACTGATCGCGACCTTAAAGGTCGTGATAATCGTCACGGTATGGTCAAGGGCAGTGATATGTGGTCGTGACCAGTTCCTTTACTCCCCTTCTTGCTCCTATGCTTCCCAATCATGCTCGGATGAACTCCAATCGATTCCCGATCAATCCCTAATGAATATAAGACCTAGAATTTCATCACAAACAATTGGGAAGGCATAAAATACCACAAAGTGGGGTCGGCTCCCCTACGAAAACCTTCATATAATGAATACCTTTGCCAAAATGCATGTTTTGCAAATAGGAACAAAAATGGGCATAAATAACTTGATATGTGTCCTAGACACAGTAATTTAACATGAAAATGCCTTAAGAATAAGGGCTAAATAATGCCTATTTTAGGTGTTATCAAACTCCCCCACACTTAAGCATTTGCTTGTCCCCAAGCAAACCTACTCATCTCATGCAACTTGAAAGATAAATCGCAATGGCATGCATAATAGATCGTCGGTAGAGGGTCAACTAGAAACTTTGGAGGTCAACCGGTTATTAAGAATTCTACTGCCGATCTCTACGTGAAAATACACTCCCGAATGGGGACCTTGCCACTAAAGAGGTCTAGACATCAAAGGTGTGCACCGGGGGATTTCTCAAAAATGGTTAAAAATATGGACTCTAGAAGGTGCTCTTCATTCTTTCTTTCAAGTTAGGAGTTGTCATTTATCGGTCTCCTTTTTCTACGTTGACGCACATTGCACCAAACTTTTTGCAAACTTTTTGCAAGAAAGCATCTCTCCCTCATGACCAAGAGCAGATGAACCATTGCCTTCCCTATCAAGGTCACATGTGGTGGAAGTTGATGGGCGGATTCATCTTATCCCGAGCACCACTTCCTAGCGTGCCACCCAATCCGCTTTGACGTTCAAGGCCCTCGGAATTTCTTCCACCGAAATTGCAGGGTTAGTCCTAAGGATATTGACCATTGTTCTAATCCACGCTGCACATCTCCAGGGCCATCGAGACTGGCAATTCTTCAGGGCCTTCACCATCATCTGACAGTCAGATTGTACAATACAAACCGATCCATATTCTTGAGCTAATTTAATTCCTTCCAAGAGAGCCTTTGCTTCCGCTTCTATTGGGATGGAACAAAGAAGATTTTCAGCTCTCCCATCATACACTTGTCCATGGTAGTTAACAGCAACAACACCATATGCCGCCGACTGGGAGTCGCTAAAGAACGACCCATCACAGTGATCACTTGGCAGGGGATTCGTAGTAGGGTGGGATCCCCTGAGCTGAGTGGGACCATCTGAACCTTGAGGTGGGGACCTCGGGCAAGCAGTCCATTCCGTAAGTTCTCTATAGGCTTGCAGACACACATTTGGGGGACAAGGGATTCTATTCTTGAAAGTGCACTCATTCCTAGCCTTCCAAATGTTCCAACACAGGTAGATAATATGAGTAAGCGAGTTCTGGGGAATGGTATCTTTGAGGGAGCAGAACCAGTCAAAGAAAGAGGTGCTCTGGGGAGGGATCGGAAGGGAAGGGAAAATGCTAGTCCAGGAATCTCTTGCATGCGGGCAGTAGAAAAGGCAGTGGTTAAGGGACTCGAAAGGATCATGACACACTTGGCAACTCGGTTCAGGGGCACATTTTTGTTGGAAGAGTCTTGCTTTCGTTGCCAAACCATTTCTGGAACATCTCCATAAAAAGAACTTGAGCTTGGGCGGGATGTTCAACCCCCAAATCCATTTCCACCTCTCTTCACTTCCTGTCGACTGGAAATTAGTGTTGTTTTTATGAACTGCGTGGTAGGCCGTCTTAACCGAGAAATATCCCTCTCTAGTGAGGCTCCAAGCCCAAAAGTCATCAGCACCCACCTCCCCAATTGGGACTTTAAGGATGGCTTCCACTTCTTCCCTCGTCACATGGCCTTGAAGCAAATCCAAATTCCAGCTCCTACTAATTGGGTCGATCCATTCCTTGACCCTCAGGTTCTGCTGGGGGCCGCTTCTGATCACAAAATTCTGCATGCTCGGAATCCATGGATCTTGGCCAATCCATGTCTCCCCCCTGCCCCGATAACTCTTATTGCTCCCATGTTGATAACTTTTTTAGCCTCCCACAGACTCGCCCAGATCCATGATGCTCTACTTCCTTTCTTCGACTGCAAGAAATCTCCTCTCGGGAAGTACAACCCCTTTAAGAGTCGACACCAGAGGGCATCAGGGGAATTAAGGATTCTCCACGCTTGTTTCGCCAACAGCGCCAAGTTGAAATCTTTAAAGCTTCTGAACCCCAATCCCCCTTCTGATTTTGGGGCACACAGAATTTCCTTTCTACACCAATGCATTGTGCTTTTTTGCATTGACCCTGATCAGAAGAAGTTGGTGAGGAGGGAGTCCATCTTCCTGGTGAGGTTAACCGGAAGGTTAAATAGGTACATGATGTAGGAGGGAATAGCTTGGATTACTGCTTTGAGCAGCACTTCTTTTCCTCCATGAGACAGGAGGATGCTCTTCCACGCTTCCCCCATCTTCTCCATTCTCTGTATCTGGAACTGAAAGGTTTCCTTCTTTGAATTCCCCCATTCCATCGGCACTCCTAAGTACTTGGTGTGACAGTTAGAAGAGGCAAAACCGATATGCTCAATGATTTTGGCTTTGTCCACCTCGGGTACATTTGCACTGAAGAAGACAGAAGATTTGTTAATATTCACTTCTTGTCCTGTAATGGCTCCATACTCTCTCATAAGATCTAGGATCTTCTCCGCTTCTTGATGGTCTGCTTTCCCAAATATCAATGTATCATCAGCAAAAAGACAGTGGGTGAGTATCGGGCATCTCGCGTTTAATCTAATTCCTTTTAACTGATTCTGGGACACTACTTTATCAATAAGAAAGGTAAGCGCATTAGACATTAAAATGAACAGGAAGGGGAAAAGCGGGTCTCCCTGTCTGATCCCCCTGGACGGTTGGAATTCCTCTGCTGCTTCACCATTGAAGAGGATGGAGAACTTGACCGTCCGGATGCAAGAACTAACCCATCTGCACCATCTACTGTCAAACCCATACTTCTCCAACAGAGTTTTTAAGCACTCCCATTCCACCATGTCATACGCCTTCTTCATGTCTAACTTGAGCATCATATCCCTTCTCCTTCCCTGCTTGTGGTTTTTGAAGTGATGTAGGGCCTCGTGTACAATAATGATATTGTCTTGTATAAGCCGACCACCGGTGAACGCTGTCTGGAGCTCCGAGATCAGATCAGGCGTCCAAATCTTCAGTCTGGTTGCCATAATTTTCGATATAATTTTATATCTAAAATTGCAGCAACTTATAGGCCGAAACTGGCTAATCACTTCTGGGTGATCAACTCTTGGAATCATGACTATATGCGTATCGTTCCATCCTTCCGGCATTGCGGCTGTCTCAAAAAAAATCCTTCACTTCTCTTTTTCGATTTCGTCAAACTTTGAACGACGATAACTTTGTGCTCCACAATCCGAAAATCATGGTTTTTTTATTTCGCGTAACTTTTTAAGGACTACAATTTTTAGTAGGAGAGAATTTTCAAAAAATGAATTATTTATGGATATACGGGGTTTTGAGAATAACTTTACCTTCCCTTTTCAAGAATCCAAGTACATTCCGAAATTATGTCTATGATAACGTGTGTATTTTGAGAAATTTTTTTTAAAAACATGTGTAACTTTGGGTTTTTTCCGATAAATAGAGCGCAGAGAAACGATTCTCATATTCATGGACCTTTTCATGAATTTTCCAAAAGATTCTATAGTCAACCTTTTTTTACTGCCACCCAACATCAAGCACCACAATTCAAATGGGGACAGCCAAACAGGTGTCCAGCTGGTACTGGCCAATCCCGCCAACCACTAAACAACTTGCTCATGCGAAAATTCCCCACAATGCATTCCTTCCTTCCTTCCGTCCTGGCAATACAATTTCCCTTCCCTCCCCTCCCCTCCCTGAGACTTGGACGAATGTTTCTGGCTGGTTGGCCGGAATTTCTTCCTTTCCCACAACTGCAATGCCTCGTCGAATTCCCACATTATAAATTCTTCCCACCTTTCCTCGACATTGTGTTACTTCCGGATTCCTATTTCCATGCCAAGTAAAAGAACCCAATCTAGGAAAAACAAAGTACATATAGAAGATCTGCCAGCAACAAACAAAACCTCTGTATTGGAAAGTACACACGTTTCTGTCATTTATTTATGGTGGGTTTATCCTCTAGTAGTTGTCAAGTTGGCGCCCAAAATAAAACACAGGCTGAAAAGCTTTCCTCATCCATTCTCTGTTATGCAGAACCATAATTCACTGAACACCCGTAGTGAAAAGAGAAAAAACAACGTAGCCATTCTAAGGAATCTACAGTTATTACAAACAATGTCAGCTTTGTTTGTCTTGCCCTCTTGAATCGAAGAAGAATGCAATCAATCACAAGCAGTTATACTGCGTCCCTCTTTCTCTATCTCTATCACCAGAGATTATGATGACTCTTTGAGAAACCAAGTATGGTGCTTTTCCCTCTCTTTGCTGACTCAAACCAAACTACGCTGCTGCTGCTACTGCTCAGAAATGTATCCTGGTAGTATGAATCTTGAATGCTGACATTATTTACAAGTGGTACAAGGTTGGTGGCAAGTCACCCATGGAAGGAAGCCAAGGAGACCTGGGATTCTGGGCTAAGGAATGTACAAGGAAATCCCCACGGTTGATCACAAGAAAACTCAATCCCCGGAGAGCCAGCAGAAAAATGTTACCCACTCCAATGCTTTTTTTCCATTTATAGAATTTTCACAAGGCGAAAAAGGCCTCTCATTTGTAATTTTAGGTCACAGGGAGAGTTGGAAGATTACCAGCTGGGCACCTTTGCCTGCGTGGGCGCCTAGTTGTCTTTCCCCAACCTCTTAGGCTTCTATCCTCCATTCCCACTTCAATACTACTCAGTTGATGAATCAGCGGAGCACAAGGGGTTAGCGGACTTACAGCCACCGCCACCGGAGGCGTTGGAGGTGGAGGAGGACTAACCACCAACCGCCTCCTTCCTCTTCCACACCCACTTCTAGTCGAGTTCCTCCTCAGTAATCCCGACTGCCAAGCATGACCCGTAGCTCTCATTAGCCCACCAAACGTCTGAATATCCTCAGTTACCTCATGCCTAGAAAGAGATACAAGCCCAGGAAGGATGTCCCTTTGAAAATCCCGTCTCTGCCTTCCTCTCCTCGCATTACCCCTTCGTGATTTAGTGGGAACCACAGTGCTGGGGCCCGTCACCTCCAATATCAAATCTTTTGGGACAAGAGGCTCCGGCATGTAATCTTTTTCTTTGGTCTCTGTCAATTTTAGAGTCATCAGCTCGAAGTAATCAAATTCTTCAAAGGAAGACAAATCATTATTGTCTACTCTGGAGAGAGCTTTAAACTTGCTTTCCAAGTCATCCCCACAAGAGGAGATTATTTCTGCAAACCAATGAAGGGTACAGCTAGCACTTTCTGCTCGATCTTGGGGGGCAGACGATGATGAGATGGAAACTATTGCCTCAGCTGCTACTCTGACGAATTCATCTAGTTGTATTTCAGATTCTTGATGGCTTGCTAATGAAGGTTCTTTACCAACCTTTGCTATGCATTCGACATTCTCCTCAATCTCAGGAACTATTGGAGCTTCCAAGTCTATTCCTGTAACAGTCTTCTCTATGCAATAAGGAACGGAAGAGAGTAAAGCAGCTTCATCTTCACTTACACAAGAGTTCAAGTCAATCTCACATCTGACGTTGGAAACTTTCTTGGTATCTTTCCCATTATTGACAAGTTCGACTTCATCAGAGGCCTTCCGAGCAAAATCAGCAACAGCTACCAGATCATCAAAGGGCATGTTCATATCGAACAGTACATTTTTTACCTTGTTTCCTGCCTCTGTTTCGGATGGAGTAGCAATGGAGCAATAAGGAGAAGTGAAAGACAGAGACTCTGTCTTGGGAGCATGTGCACTTTGAAAAATGGGGAAACCAAGAATTTTTCGGCAAGCAGCGGACTCCCTAACTTCAATCCTAGTGGCATCAGGATTAATAGAATGAGAAGCTAATTTCTTACCCTGCCAGACAGGATGAAGAGAACCCCTAAAACTTTTGTCTGTGAGATTTTGAGTGGAATCCAAGAAACTCAATTTCCCAGCATTGAGAACCATCTCAGTACTAGATGCCTCACTTTTGAAAGTCGGTTTACCCCTTAGCCAAGGCAAAGAAGAGAGATTTTCGTCATCCTTTCTTTCCAAATCTATGCTCTCAATACCGTGCCGAGTAGCCTCCTTATTTGATATCCCATTTGATATTGCCACATTCAAGTTCACATCTTTAATGGGCTTCAAATCCATGTAACTGGAATTCTGATAGAACTTAACTGAAGCATGATTGATTAGCTGCTCTTGAGCTGCTGCATTGTCAGCAGTACCACAGTTCACGTGGCCATAACTTCCTGAAGGAATAGAAAACTGTAGTTCCTTCAACCCTGTAGAAATTCCGTGGTAATATCCATTTCGGTTAGACACTTCATTCCCATATTTATGGTTAGATGTAGAGCTGGTGTTGTTCCAGTTCCATCGATCTCCAAATATCCCATTGCTTTGAGTTGATGACTGAGAACTCTTACTCAATGTTGCAGATGACGAATTCAAATGAGGATGCAATTGAACAGAGATACCATTCTGGTTCAAGATTCCAGTAGGCTTTTCCCAAGACAAAGCAGAGTGAGACCAAGACTTGCTCAAATCAGGTGCAAACAGATATGGATTGGATATACCGGAAGCAATAACCGCTCGGTGACAACTATTATTAGAATCATCAGGACTTCTTTCTGAAAGGTCTACACCATGACTGCTTCTATCTCTCGACTGATTCTTCTTTTGATCAGTAACTGAAAAGTTTGGAGGTTCAAGAGCTCTGTCGTTGGGTAGGGCCTGCATCGACCGAGAAGATGACGGGAACCTTTCGGCCTGAAGAGTCTCAGAAACAGATTTGAGATTGTTCATAGCATGTCCTGCAATAATGAACATAAATTTATTCGATAAAAATGCATAGTTATCGTTATATCGTTAGTAGTGATGAAAAGGCAATTCAATGAACAGTGAACTCCACAGCTATAATATCTTACCTGCTTCATCAACATGAGTCAACCACTGCTTCCCAATTCCATTACTCTGATGATCAGGTCTAGTCAAAGGCCCATTATCACTCCCACGATGAGGTGTCTCATCCGGAGAACCTCTGAGTCGTGACTTCTGCTTACCATCCAAATCTGTACCTCTAACCTCCCCATGGAAAGGGGTATCACCAAGAATACTAACATGTTCAGAAGGATTAGTTTCTTCAATCACAATTGGTTCATTCAAATCAGCCATACTAATTTTGCCCCTTAAACATGATTCAGACAGTGAACCATTATCCTGGCAATTATTCTGACTGAAACCATTCTTGGAAATATTACTCAGATTTCCCTTGACCAGCTGATTTGCTTTTCCAGACACATTGTTTGGTGCCCCTTCTTCAGTATCTATGTACTCATCGGCCGGAAGCTGGAGATCGAACATCTTTCTCCTCACCTTTGTGGGTCTCGACTCCAATATCTCAACATCCTTTGAAGTACTACCATTCTTATATGGAAAGGGACTGGCATATGTGCTGCTTCCTCTGACGGAACTTAACGGTGAATTAATATTCTCAATGGCAGAAGTAGATGGCCGAGCAGAAACAGAATTTCCCAGTGGAAAGCTAGGGATATGCCATTTCCTAGCATCTTCAGGTGTAACTTGAGATGCTAAGGGGCTTGATGACAGTGATGCATCGACCTGCACTCGACTTTTCTGTGGTGTTTCCTTCCTTTTAACTTCATCCATCAAGTCCCTTTGTATTCTGTAGAGGCGGTGAAGCTCGTACAGCTGAATGGACAGGGAGATATAAATTTGAAATCAGATAATTTAACAAGAGTAAATCAGAATCTCAGGCGAAAAATACAAATTCTGATATACCTGGTTCCTGAATATGGTCTCATGCTCGAGCATTGTCCTCTTTACTAAGTCTTTATCATACCCTGAATAAGTGTCCGTGATTGCCTTTGGCATGAAACCATTGTAGTACTGACCATTTGTGAAGGTTTTATCTCCATAATATAGGGGCCAGCTACAACTGTTAGACTCATCACTAAGATCCCTCATTTGAAAATGTCCAGGAAAGTAGCTTTCACACTGCACTTTGGTTCCCATTCCTGGCAGTAGACAAAAAGGAGTGATGAATGTCAAATACATTACAAGAAACTATTAGTTGCATACAGGATAGTTTCCTCAAAAGACAGTATGTGATTTCATAAGAAAGAAGGAAGAGAAGCCTGTTGGAGATATGTGTATGATACTGGAAACTGATGCAAAGCCACAGAACTGCTGACTCTTTTCAAATTCAAAGAATTTATGAACTCTAGTAAACAAGTACTTCGTTTATGCTAACCTGAGTTCTATTTTACAGGCTATCGATCCAACCACCATAAGCTTTTGGAGAACAACCTACATGAACAAACCAAAAGACACTCAAAAATCATGTATAAGTAACCCTACAATCTCCTGCTTTCTCTAGGGCTGGTTCCAATGTGGGAATGGGCCCGCCGGAGTACCCAAACATCCAGACAACTTGTGTTCAAGAAATTCGCAACAGCCAAGAGAAAAATGGCCAACAGATGCCACAAAAAAAAAAAAAAAAAAACATGGCCAACAGATATTATGGTTATGTAACTGAACTTCTTTTTATCCCATCTGAAATTCACTTCACCCCCAATTAAAAATTCCTAAGTTTATAAACTCAAATAGGTAACTTCCTTATGAAAGTCACTACTGTTCGATTTCCACAAACACATAAGCGATTTCTTAAAATCCGGATGATTCGATAACAACTGTTCCAAATGCAGCATACATTAACAACCAACAGAACTTACAAATTTTGTTGGTGTGACAGGTCGGGAAACTAGGCCTATTTGCCTTTCTGATAATCTGGTTAAATTACACTAACTAACAACTAACACAGCTCAAAACCAGGGTGAACTATCAACGTTTAGCTGACATAAATCATCTACCTACTTCAACAAGCTAAAACAGTTAAAGGGAACTGATTAGGCTAACAGTGACCATATACATTACAATCAGAAACCTTAATCTGAATATGGGAAGAAACGTTGAGACGTTCCGACAACCTAGTTAGTCGATTGGTTTCACTAAACCTAATAAGGGAGCAAAATTAGAACACAATAGAAACCATTACTTCCGGCACTCAAGTCAATAATATCAAAGCTATAAGACGACAGAAAAATCCCTGATATACAGAATAAATCAGACATTTCAGTGTGAACAGACAGATCCTCTACAAGCATACAATCTTAATTAACAAAAGATTACTATCAAATATGAGCAGTAGAAGTGCCCCAGCTTTCACAACAGAAACTTCTAAAACCCCACACATAACCAAATCCTATTGGCAATCAAGGCTGCCAAAAGAAACAAACATACACAAAAAGGAAACTAAGTCAGGCGCCCAGAAATGCATAATCTGAATTGCCCACAAGACCTCAACCCTCAACCCAAATTCACCAAACTGATAAGAGATACGAAACCCATCCCCAAAAGAACATATTAAAGCAAACCCCAATTGACAAAAGCATTAAACAAAACAAATTAAACCCAAAAAAACATTATAATTAGAAAAGAACAAAATCAAAGTACTCATAAGAGAAATTAATATTACCTCAGACCCGCACCTCTTTTTATCTCATTTCAACTCAAGAATCCTACAAGCATACAATCATTCGACAGTCCCAACTTCTACATCAGACAAAGAAAAATTACAAGACTCTCTCACAAGAGACTGGCACTATCAGAGAAACGTAAGGAGAGAAGAAAAGAAAACGAGAGGGAAGGAGCTCAAAGGACAAGAAGAAAAGCAAAAACAGAGAGTGGGTATTGCTCTAACTCCATTGAAAGGGCTTAGATCGTCTCTTCTCAATTGAATAAAAGGAGATTTCGATCTGCTGGGCCACTATTCCTCTCTTTCTCTCTCTATATCCCTAAGTCTCACTTTCTCTCTCAACAACAACAAGAACACCAGGAAACAGCAACAACAAGAGGAAAGAAAGGAGGAAAAAAAAAATGATACTTAGAGAGACAAAGGTAGAAAAGATAGTTATTTTTATTTATGTAAGAGAGAGACAGAGAGATCCCAGATAAGAAATCTTTTTACACAAACAAACGACCTTCTAAGAACAGTGACACGATATTTGTCAACATCCGGTCTCTTTTTATTCTCTACTTTTCTATTATCATTTTTCCCCAATCTCTCTCTCTCCCTCGCTCGCAAGCATTCTTTTTCCAATTATTTTTGCTGCCTTTTTCTAATTTGATAATTATATCTTCATTTTATAATTCTGTGTTAAGGAAAATTCTAAGGGTATGGGCATTTCTAGATTCTCTCCACCTTCCTGCCTTTGGTACCGCTATTCTCAAAGCTATATTTTTTTCAATCCTCTGGTTTTCTTTTTTGTTTTGTATTTTGTGTGTTTTCATTCTTTAGATGACTTTGTGATTTTCATTTTCAATCACCTTAGAAGCATGAATCAATTCATGTAATTTGTGTGGAGTGCCCAAATAGTAAAATCTTCAAAGCTATTTATTATATTACACTTTTCATTCAAAATCCAACATGCCAAAATGACCACTTTATTATAGTCCAGTTATTTTATAACTCATAGGAGTATAATCTAAAAATTATGTTTTTAATACTAATACTGTCACACGGCCAAGTGTAACCACCTACTAATGCGTAGTATAGCGGGTTTAGCTTTACTTATCAACCTGGGTCCTAGATGTGATTACTACTCTGTGAAATTCTTATTATCTAGCGGTTTAACTAGGGTTGGTAAAAGGTCGGTAAACGGTTTAACCCGTTACCGTTTGACCGGTTACCGGTATACCGGAAACCAATACACCTCTGTCGTTTGTTGATACCGAATAATTTTCGGTAAGCCGATTACCGAATGGGACGGTATCGGTTGTCATCCCGGTTATCTGTTTACCGCCAAATGGAGAAAATCAGTGCTGCAGCTTGCGGAAATGGTAACTTCGCATAGCAAAGTGGCGAGGTTCGGGATTGCAACTCCAAGTCCCACCGACCCAACCTATAAATAAATGAAATACCACTCTTTACACTTGTTCCCTGTTGGCTGTAACACACCCTGCAAAAACAAATTAATTAATTAACTCATAGTGCTTCTTTGCACGACTGCGACACATACACATTCACACGGCTGCTCCCGAACTCGACTATAATAGACACACAACCAATGAAATTATGAAACTGTGAAAGTATGAAACAATTAACAAATCAACGTAAAGTTACCTCAATCGACAGAGATGACGAACTGTGGCAGCGACGGGGTTCGACGGAAACAAGGCCACGGCGAAGGGGGTCGACGGAAACAGAGCCCAACGGAGAGGATGAGGCACTGTACTGCTGGGTCGTGTCTCGTGGGTCGAGCTTGCGTCAGCGACGGAGACGACGAAGATTCTTCCTGTTTCGATGTGGCGGCGTTCGGATGCGATGAACGAAGGAGGGATCGACGGCGTGACTCGTCGTGCGCCAGGCGAGGGAGAGAGCGATGCAATAGCGATTTAGTGGTCTAGGTAAATTACTTATGTCTTAGACTTAGGTAAGGTTGAGGCATTTGGGCGGCCGACATTTACTTGATAACCTTTCCCATTCAGTGTCGGCAGACCGACCCACCGACGGTATTTTACCGTTTCTATCTCGGTATACGACTTCAAAAATCCCATCTCCGAATACCGTTTTATACGATTAACGGTTTAACCGGTAATCATGATTACCGGTACGGTTACCGGTTAAACCGTTAACCCTAATACCGTTTACCAGCCCTAGGTTTAACTGTAGTGAAGTGTTAACTAAGCTAAATGAACACAAAACAGTAAAAGTTGTAGTTCAAGTTTGAGAGAGGTCACCCAGATATGGTTCCCCCAGATTGCAGTTATGTCGGGTTATAATTCTCCAAGTCCATATTCAATGACAGTTATACTATGGAAAGTTCTTATTCAGTCTGAAGTCTCGACTAAAGGTCTCTAGACCCTCTCAATCTGAGTACCCGGCGGGCGACTAACCTCCACCAGAGTAAACAAACTGGGGCCCTAACGTTCAAAACCTCCTCTACTGGAGTAAATCCAGTACAGAGCAGTGAATTGACTCCTCGACTAAAGTAGTCAATTCACCACCTTCAATTAAGGGTGCTCTATCAACCTAGGCAGACATTCTCTTTTTAGGTCAAAGCAGGAAACACGGGTATTTGATCAGGATTCATGCAGTTCAGAAAAGCATGCCTCAATTGAATATAATCGATGTCAAAGAACATGTACTTGGGTTCATACAACCAAACCTAAAATACAAATCTAGGGTTCTTCATACCCAAGTGAGAGAGAGAGTTTACTCCATAGAGAGAGAAGAGAAATCAGCTTCAGATGCAAAAATCATTCTATGAAGGATGAAAATCACCTTCTGGTTGTCAACGACAGTTCTCCAAACTTCAATCGATAATGGGGTTGAATCTCGATCTAGATCACTTCGAGGCTTTGTTCGTCACTTTCTCTCTCTAGGTTTCTGCTTTCTTTCTCCAAAACTCGGATTGTTTGCCAAAGATCCCAAGTGAGGAGGTGAGAGGATTTAGCTCCAGTTCTTGTGGCTCCTCCAAAGAGGTGGTGATGCGGGTCGAGGATGAGATCGGCTTGAACGGCTTCTCGGCCTCCAGGAACTCGCCAAACACTAGCATGGCCAACTGCTCCTCGAGTTGCAGCTCCTGCGATGCCTGCTCACCTAGCAAAATACACAGATCAAGGGAATCGTGAGTACCCACACTCATGATGGCGAGTGCGGTTTCAAAATCAGCCAGCATGTCACAGTAATCCAAGTCATCATGCATATGGGAATGTTTCGCATTATCAGACACAGAAAATGTAGCTTGTTCACCCCTAGCCCGCAAAATTAATTTGCTACTATGCACATCAATCAACGCCTTGGCGGTGGTGAGAAATGGTATATCCCAAATCAAAGGCACATCCACTTCCTCATTTATATCCAAGATAAAAAAATCAACAGGATATGTGAATGCACCCACATTAACAAGCAAGTCCTCTATGATATCCTAGGATGCACAATCGACCGATCAACTAACTGAATACTCATCCTAGTGGTTCTAGGTTCACCTAGGCCTAGCTTCTTAAATAGTTTATAAGGCATGACATTGATGCTAGCGCCTAGGTCCGCCAAGGACTTTCCTACATGAATGGTGCCAATAACAAGAGGGATAGTAAAACTCATTGGGTCTTTGCGCTTCTCTGACAGCTTGTTCTGCAGGATTGCAGAACACTCCTCGCTGAGCATCACTGTTGAGAGATCCCCAAGTTTCTTTTTGTTGGTGATCAGGAGATCCTTCATGAATTTAGCGTACTTGGGCCTCTTCGACAGTGCCTCCACGAACGGCATGCTGATGTTGACCTGCTTCAACATTGCCATGAATTTGGCAAATTCAGTCTCCAGCTTGTCCTTGTGCATACGAGCGGGGAAGGGAAGCTGGGGAACATGCTCCTTAACCACTGGCTGTGGCTTGGGAGCATATGCTTCCTTATCTATCCCCACCTCTTCATCTTTAGTAGATGTTGTCTTGCCACTTGTAGTAGTGATGATAGCTAGCTCCTGGTGAGGCTCGCGAGGATTTGGGATGGTGTAGACAGGTAGAGTTCCCGGTGCCCTGGTGCTGTTATTTCGAGCTATTCCTCCAATCTGGTTCTGGAGGTCCTGCAAAATAGCACTTTGGTTTCTCTGGCCTGCCTCCAGTGCATTGAATTTCCCCATAGAGAATTCCAAGAACTGGTCCATCCTGACAAACTTCTCTGTACTAGTGCTCACGAACGCCGTCACCATATTCTTCAGCTCTAACATCTGGTCACCGTGTGTTGGGGCTGTTGTCGGCTGGGCGAATTGCCTCTACTTTTGCTGGAAAGGTTGCCCTTGTTTGGGCTGAAATGGCTGCTAAGAACAGATCCGAGTACCGCTCCCAAGCATCTTGCAGGGACTCATCATCTTCTTGGCGAAAATGAGTGACCTCTCGCTGAATCTCTGAGGTCTTAGAGGCCGGATAGTACTTGTGTACAAACTTATCTGCCAGATCGTCCCAAGAAGTGATGGACAATGGTGGTTGAGTCTCTAGACACCTCGTCGTAGTACCTGCCAAGGAGTGGGGGAAGAGATGAAGACGAATCGCGTCATATGGGACGCCATTCAGCTTGAACCCATTGGTTAACTGCAGGAATCGAGAAAGATGGACCCTCGCATCTTCATCTTTGAGCCCATGGAACTGGATGGAGGATGCAATCAAATGGATCCAGCATGGCTTAATCTCAAAATTATTGGCAGGGATGGGTGGATACTGGATGACGAAGCAGATGTCAGCGATCCGTGGATTGTAGAAATACTCCATAGTGAGCTCCTGGGGAGGAAACTGTGGGTTGGGAGCGCCTGCCTGTGGAATACCGCTATTAGGTGGGACTTGATTCACCGGAGGAGCATAGATTGGCATCCCTAGGGGCTGTTCCGGATTGATGTTGTTCATCTGGTTGTTCTCGTCTCCCATGTCGTCTTCCTGCTCGGAGTCGCTGCTAATCCGACCGTCAATATGCTCATCTGTCGTAGCTAGTCTTGCTTGCTGCACTCGCCTAAGCTGGCGACAAGTATGTTTTAGCTTCGGGTTCAACGGTAGTAATGCTTCCGACTGGCTACAGGTCATGCACTACCTGCACACAGCCAAGCAAGAAACCCGTGAAGGCAAGAGTGGGAAAAAGCAAAACAATCGATGCGGAAAAGAAATGCTAAAGTAACAGAAATCATGTTTCTTCAACAACCTAGCCGTCCCCGGCATTGACGCCAAAAACTTAACTCGCTTGTACCTTCACACTAGAAAGTGGCCAAGTGTAACCACCTACTAATGCGTAGTATAGCGGGTTTAGCTTTAATTGTCACTACAACAAATTCAGCATATTATGACGAGGCAATTTTATCATATTAGATACCCATTTTGTCATATTATACCTAATATGACAAAGGGTGTTGTCACAAAGGTTTGTCATTTTATCGCCGTCAGGATAGGTCAAATGTGACAAATTTAAAACAAAGTTGTCACATTTGCTTTCAGTATAGCTGAGGTTCTGGATAGTCTATTGTGACAAACATAGATGTTATGACGATATATTTTGTCATTACGGTTGTCATAATCTGGTAATTTTGGGAGAATCTTTCGTCATATTGCACGATTGTATTTTGTCACAAATGTGTATTGTGACGACTACATTTTGTCACAAGCAAGGTTGTTAACCCGGTTTAACCCGTTGGTCCGATTGAGCATGCGGGTTGAGGGTTAATGGTCGGATCGTTTTATAATTGTGGTGATTTGATAATTAGATGATTGAAATGTAATTTATTTGTAGATACTATATGGCAATTTTACCTTAACCTAAAAGCTACAGCTATTTACATTACCCTGACTGCCGCTTTTCAGTTTTCACCTCTAATTTCCCTCACAGAGCGACAACTTCTCTCTTTCACTAGTCTTAATCTCTAGTCACTTCCCTATGTCTATTCCACTTCGACTTTTTTTAAGAAACGACAAAAACGCATCTTCTTCAGCAACCACAGAAACGCAAAAACAGAACCCCTCAATCCAATCCAATCCAAGAACTAAACCACCGAGGAGAAAAAATCACAATTTCAATCTGGTTCAGCTATCTCCAATCAACGCCCCTGCCAAAAATCCACAAAGCTTCTTTCAAATCAAACCCCCAAACCCGATAACAAGGACCCTTTGACACCCATATACTACCACCCCCAAACCCAGAAACTGCAGCGGAAGGCGAATCGACCATCTCCGCCGCTCGGCCTTCTAAACCCATATAGGACAAAGACGTGTCTCAAGCCATCACAAACCTCCACCGCTCGCCACCTCACCACCACCAACACAAAAATCAACCTGTTGATCCTCATCGACGCCCAACATCAATACCTTCAACACACAAAACAAATACAAAAATCATTTAAAAAGCTACAAAATAAAAGAGAATTACGAGGTAAGACGCTTTTTGCGTTTGTCTTTCTAAAATAAAAATTATTGGTAGTCGGCGGTGGAGGATCTCTGTGGAATTTGACTCGTGGTGGAGGCTCGCGCTGGAGTTTGGCTCTTCGCGGAGTTCGCATTGCGGTACTGTTCTGGTCGCGGTGGACGGTAGAGCTGGCAAGTCGAAGCCGCTGGTGGGGTGGCGGGATCACCGACAGTGGCGGCTTGATCGCAGAGCAACCTGCTCTTTCGAACAAAGAGACGATGGGGAGGGTTGAGGCTGGTTGTGCGCTGTTGTGGGAGAAGATATGGTTTTGCAATGCAGACGCGGAGATGCCACTTTTTTATTTTGCCCCTTCAGTTGATAAAACGACTTTGTTTGGGAGCAAATCAACCCTAGCCACAGTCTAACAAGCAATTTCATAAAATGTGAGTAACCATAATAAGGACAAAAAATTCAACTCATAGATCACCTCTGGTCATGACAACACACTGATGCACAGGGCCTCCATATCTCGATTCTTTTTCTCCAGCCGGGCTCTTTTACTTTTTAGTTATATGATGGAAAAGAAAACCCTAAACCCTATATTTAAAAGAAGTTGTTGCTAAAATACTTTGAAATTTTTGGGTAACTGGCAGATTCAATCCCGCCTAAGAAAAATTTGACTTTTGGGTGAATTAACTAAGCCTGAAAAGCCCGCTAAAACATTTCAGTCCTTTTTGGGGACAACTTGAAAAGGCCAACCCAATTAAGTAGTAAACTCATATTTTATGGAGTCAATTTTACGAGCTTGTCCCCTAAGTAACTTAGGGTCGTTTGGAGGTTGAGATTTCAAGTGATGTATTTAGCCAATACATTGAATGTTAAGATTAAGGGGTCGTTTGGAAGTTGTTATTTCAGATGATGTATTCAGACAATACATATAATCAGGAGAGTTCATTGTTTTTTTTTTGTCTTAAAATGAAACATAATACATGTATTTGAGTAGAAGATGGACCCACCAGAATTATTCATAATGGATGATTATCAATCTCAGCTTTTAGCGGAGCTGAGATTGTCAATAACTCAATTTTTCTTCCTAATTACTTGAGGGACCACCAAAATCATTCAACCTCCATACAAGATATTTTTCAAATTCATAAATTGACACAATGCTTTAAATTACAACATACTAATTGATTAACCCACCAGAATCATTCATAATGGATGATTATCAATCTCAGCTTTTAGCTAATCTGAGATTGTCAATAACTCAATTTTTCTTCCTAATTATTTGAGGGACCACCAAAATCATTCAACCTCCATACAAGATATTTTTCAAATTCATACATTGACACAATGCTTTAAATTACAACACACTAATTGATTAAATACATGTGTTTTTTCAAAGCCAAACCAATTTATTATGACGAACACACACTTTTGTCAGCTCGCCGTGAGATTATTGCTATCTATTGTGAAAAATTACTTTGTAATTTAAACAATTTAGAAAGGCATAATATGACAAAAGCCACTCTGACGATATAATTTGTCATTTTTGTGTCTCTTCCATCCGGATATGGGATGCCTATTTTGACAAATTCAATTGTGACACGAAATATTTGTCACATTACTCACTTTAAATGACGAACTATTCTGACAACAAGATAATTGTCACTGTTGAGTCTCTTACATCCCGATATGGGACGCCTATTTTAACAAAATTAATTATGACACGAAATATTTGTCACATTAATCACTTTAAATGACGACTTATTATGACAATAACTTTTTTGTCACATTAGGCATACCAAATAGGACATGTATTATTTTTGTCATATCACCGTACCTATTGTGACAAACAGAAAATGACAAAACAAAATTTTTGTCCTAATAGGCCGAATTTGTTGTAGTGTGTCAACCCGGGTCCTAGATGTGATGACTACTCCGTGAAGTTCTTAGTATTTAGCGGTTTAACTGTAGTGAAGTGTTAACTAAACTAAATGAACACAAAGCAGTAAAAGTTGTAATTCAAGTTTGAGAGAGGTCACCCAGATATGGTTCACCCTAGATTGTAGTTAAGTCGAGTTATAATTCTCCAAGTCCAGATTCAATGACAGTTATACTGCGGAAGGTTCTTATTCAGTCTGAAGTCTCTACTAAAGGTATCTAGACCCTCTCAATCTGAGTACCCGGCGGGTGACTAACCTCCACCGGAGTAAACAAACTGGGGCCCTAACATTCAAAACCTCCTCTACTGGCATAAATTCAGTACTGAGTGGTGAATTGACTCCTCGACTAAAGTAGTCAATTCACCACCTTCAATTAAGGGTGCTCTATCAACCTAGGCAGATATTCTCTTTCTATGTCAAAGCAGGAAACACAGGAATTTGATCAGGATTTATTTAGTTTAGAAAATCATGCCTCAATTGAATATAATCGATGTCAAAGAACATGTACTTGGGTTCATACAACCAAACCTAACATACAAATCTAGAGTTCTTCATACCCAGGTAAGAGAGAGAGTTTACTCCATAGAGAGAGAAGAGAAATTGCTTCAGATGCGGAAATCATTCCGTGAAGGATGAAAATCAGCTTCTGGTTGTCAATCGACACTTCTCCAAGCTTCAATCAAGCTCCAATGGTGTTGAATCTCGATCTAGGTCACTTGGAGGCTTTGTTCGTCATTTTTTCTCTCTAGGTTTTTGCTTTCTTTGTCCAAAACTCGGATTGTTTTCCAAAGAGCCCAAACCTTGCTTGAAACTAGGGCTGGCAATTTGGTCCAGGACTGTTTGGTTTTACCCGAAACTGGACCGTATAACCCAGACTGGGACCAGATAGCAAACAATCCAATCTCATATTCGGGCTTAGATTTGAGGTAAAAAATACCCGGATAAAGACTGGATAAGAGACCCCCAAAACTCAAATCCCCACAAGCTCAATCTAAAATCAAAATCAAATTGGGACCGGACCGGGTCAAGACCGAACCGGATCAAGACCGGACTGGGACCAGATCAATTTGGTCCAATTTAACCGGACTGGACTATATAGCCACCCCTACTTGAAACCAGCAGCAGCTCGCGATACCCGCTCCAAATACCCGGTCGGGTATTCATGGGGACCGGCCGGGTATTTCAAAATGTTGCGCACTGGGGAAGGGGGAATACCCGATCCTGGGTTGAAATACCTGATTGGGTATTTTAGCCCCTCGGTCGGGACTCCTTCTGCTTTCATGGCCTCCCAAAACACTAAAACCCGGTCACCCAGTTGGTTATACCCGGTCCGGTATTTGAGGCCCTGACCGGATATTTTAGCTTCTTGCTCCTCTAGGCGCCAATTCTCCACTTTTTGACCTGAAACTCGTTTCCACGCCTCCATGTCCACGCCAAGTCCTGAAATATGACATAAACGCACAACCTAGCATGAAATTAGCTTAAAACACGAGAATCGACTCTCAAACAATTCAAGAATGATTGTTAAAACATGTGCAAGTAATGGTCCATCAATCTCAAATTAGACAACAATATTAAAATGGTAAAATTAATAATTGTAATGTAAGTGTATGAGATATTTCAAGCTTCCACACTTACATAGTCATTCATGTAGTCCACATTTGTAAGATACAAATCATTACATATATATTCAATAGTTGTGCATTTCCTTCCTTCCCATGAATAGATGAGCAAGCTGCAAGATTTTTGGAACGCAGACGCTACAAAGGAAAATTTAGGGTTTGAAGCTATGCCCAATGAGCACTATTGCCAGCCAGCGGCGTCTGATGGTGGCGTGTTCAGTATTGACATCTCCTGCTGGCTACCGATGATCCTCATCACCGTTGCAGATCACCAAACGCACGAAGACACATGGTATGAGCTTACGGGGGTCGTCATCATGGTAGTCGACTCCTCGGACAAGAATATGGAGCCCATCGTAGAGAATCAACGTTATTCTCATCAGCGCACTCAGGTTTTGGGACATTCCTTCCCATTCCTCTTCCTCCAACGCTGACTCCAGAACATGTGGGAAAGAAAAAGACTAGTGACAGTGGAGGGAATGGGCCACAAATTTTATTCAGCGAGGTTCACCACAAATTTTGACTATGAGAGAGCACTGAATGTTGTTCCCTGGATGAGTGAGGATCATTATATTCTGAACAGAACGTCTCAATGGGGCTTTGAGCACATCAAGGATGAAGTATCACATATGCTAGTTTGGGAACGACTTCCATAATTGGCTATAGATTACTAGAACAAAATCTCTTCACCAACATTGGCAACGCCTTTGTCAAGTATGTTCGAATGGATGAGACTACAAGGCAAGCTACCGGACATTTTGTGAGGATATGTGTGGGGTCAACCTAGCAAAGTCACTAATATGCAAATTCCGGCTGGAAAGGCGCTTTCGCTAAGTGGAGTATGAGGGGTTACAGAAAATATGTTTTACTTGTGGTAGGTATGGGCATGAGGAAACCAACTGTCGGAAGAAGCAAGTTCCAACTCCAACCAATTATGATTTTCATACATCACATCTTCCTACCTCCAAGAAGATCATCGAGCAAGAGCGCTGAGAAATCTTCAAGGAATATGGGCCGTGGATGATCGCTACTTAATGCGGTTATAGTATACTGCAAAGTGATAATCTCATATTTTGTCTAGGGTTGTATTCACGAGTCTTTTAATAGCAACTACTTTGTAGCTAATAACTTATGTTTGAATAAGATGTAACATAAATGTAAACACAATGGTTTGAGGTTTTCTTATTTTCTACTACAAGTAAAGCAAGTATATCAATAAGGCAAAAATAAAAACAGATATGAGAAAATTGTTTCGGTAGCTTATCTATACGATCAAGCATACTAACTTTATAATGTTAAAGCATTCATGAATTCCTTCTAATATAATGCCCCATTCCTCCCAATAATATAATCCTAATCAATTTTCATCACATGCAAAAGGAATTAAGATGATATAATGTGTGCTTTCGCTTCATGCCACAAACTAATCAATCTCGAACAAGGGATCATAGACAATACTTTGCTAATTAAGGTCTATACGAACACCATAATAATGGTCTTTGGTTTCGATTACCTATTTCTAGGGTGAGTTGACAACCTTTATCACGAATCAAGCATATACATACATAAGTAATGGGGGTCCAATCAGATCATACATGCATAAGTCAATAGCATAAGAGCAGGTTCCTAGCAACTTATAATGGTGATAAGCACAAAACCAAGATAACATATAATAGAAGATAAAATATCATAAGCATAAACATATCATTAAATCATCGAAAGTAATGCATAAAGCATTGTAGAAATAAGATCCTATATAGTAAGAAATTTAAGTAATCATAAGAGAGAATGATGATATCACCATCGATGATGAAGGCATCTCCGTTGAAATTCAGCAGAACTTCGTCTCTAATGGATTCTAAAAGAATTTGAATGTGTCAAACTCTTTTTTAGATATATGTGAAATTTGTAAAGCTTCATAAACTTGTAAAGCTTCTAAGACTTTTTTAACTTTCTAAAAAATTCTAACCTAGGCCTCTATTTATAAAAATTCTAACCTAAGTATAAATGATGTGCTATTGAGGTTTTCCTTCACAATTCGCCCATAAAATTTATTGTTTGACTTGAAGTAGGACTCCTTAACTTGTGATGAAGAAAGAATCTTTCCAAATCTTCTAGAGAAGGGGCGATTAGACCTGTCATGGATTCTTCTCCTCGTGCTTGGATTACTTGGCACTCAATTAAGTTTCATGAAGAATTAGGCTTTAATAAGAATACATAAGGTCAGCAACGGTCATAATCTCACATCAATTAGACTCCATTTGAAATGTGAAAACCTTCATAGTCTTCCATCTTCCTACTTTCTGGTTTCTACTTGATGTCTCCTAGGTCCATTATTTTTATATGAGTTTCCCTTCATTATATTTTATCTTGGAATTCAAAAAATCATCCAAAAAACAAAATCAATGTCTGAAATAAGCACATTGATAAGATAGTCAAATCCATAAAAATTTTAGTAAAAACTACTAAGATGCATTGATATAAGATGGAATGTATTACATATAGGACCTTGAGAACACTATAATTATAATAAGTGTTATCTAAATACCACACACTTGAACTTTGCATGTCCCCAAGCAAACACTACTCATAATCATTCAACTCTATAAAAGTTAGAAAATATCATTTGACGTCGTTCCTACTTATTAGATCATAAGTGATGCACAAGTCTCAAGACACATAGGATGAAGCTTTTAAAGAAAAACAAGATTTTTAGTTAGAAATCCTTCTACCAATATTTTGTCATACCTCTTCTCGTGATTTTTTGCCTTTCTTCACTTATTTCTGTTTCTTTCATTCTCTATTTACTAGAGCACCACATCTTATTGGTTGATAAAGAGTAGTTTTTGTAGTTTTGCATTCGTCATAGTAATTCTTTTAACTCGTTTTCCTCAGTTCGTATGGAGGATTAATGAGTTCGAGGGGTTTTAGAAACTTCTACCAATTTTTGGAAATTTTACATGTACTTGAGATGGGCCAACATCGGATGGTTGCGAGCCCACTGTCAACCGAAATCTCATCCAAAACCCTTTTTGTGCAATGAATGGATGTCTCACACGTTGGTTTTACACCACACTAGAGGGGTATGTGCCATCAAGCAAATCGAGTTAAATGTAGGAATAGGGATCTATGGTGGTCGAGGTGACCGAACCCCTACCGTAGGTTAGCTTCCTAGATAAAAATCGAGATGAAACCTCGTTGTGGACGGTGGATATTGTCCATTGAAATTAGCCATTAACTTATTTTCCTAGATACGATAGCCTAGATCGAGGTGACTATGTATGGGTTTAGGGGAGGCGTACTCAGAGATGTGTGGATAACCTCAAAAGCACACGGAAAAGAGCTCACTCAACACATTCGATAACCCTAAGTATTTATGCATGCATAGTAACCTAAACTAGGGGGAGGATTAGTTCCCCGAAGTACCTGCTTTTAGCTTTGATCAATATCTAGTTTAGTCATCTCCTCAAGTCCTCCACTCAAACCTCCAAAACCGATTAACTCATTAGCATCTAGGTGGGAAGTAGGTTAGGGTACCAGGACCCAAGTAAAATATGAAATTGATCACCACATTATGACAATGCCATTTTATGTTAAACTTGGCTTAGGATGGGGTAGTAGTTGACATGTGCTAACCATTGACAATAATCTGCACGGATTGAACCGATCATTGTCGGGGACTATGTTATTAGAAAAAGCTTTGAACTATTAATTTTGTCCTTTATTTTTCTTGTTATTTGTCATATATACTTGTTACTTTCACGGGTTGTTCTTGTTTTTGGGCTTGAAATAGTGCATGACCCGAAACCACCCGAGTGGATTAATCAACCTTGATCCCGAGATCAAGAGAACCCTTCATCAATGAAGAAAAGAGCAACATGTAGAGCCACAAACAATGGTGGAAGAGCAAGCCGGAGTCAACGATTGGACTATGTCCGATTATGCCCGTCCTACCTTGGAGGGAACTCCCTCAAGCATTTGGAGGCCCAACATCAAAGCCAACAACTTCAAATCAAGATTGGGATGCTGCAAATGATACAAAATCGGGTGCAATTGAATGGCCTACCCGACGAGGATCCCAACTCCCACTTGAGGAAGTTCTTGGAGCTTTGTGACACCATAAAGATCAATGGCGCAACCACTAACGCCATCCACCTCCATCTATTCCCATTCTCCCTCTACAATGGAGCACGGGACTGGCTTGATGCACAGCCACAAAACTCCATCACAACGTGGATGAAACTTGCCAATAGATTCTTGGCCAAGTAATTTACACAACTAAGACAACAAAACTCTATAATGACATTGTCTCATACCGGCAAGAACATCACGAAGCTCTCTATGAAACGTGAGAGAGGTAAAAAAACACCCTTAGAAAGTGCCCTCACCATGGCATTCCTCTTTGGTTGCAAATGAAAACATTCTACAATGGTCTCAATCCCGAGACAAGGCAATCCATAGATGCAGCGGCGGCTGGCACCATCCAAAATAAAATGCCCCCTCAAGTGGAACAACTCGTTGAATATATGGTGATGAACAACTATCAATGGTATTCGCCTCAAAACCCACGTCGACCGTCAATCTCTCGAAATGCTGGACTCCACCAAATTGATTTGGTGATAGCATTGGCATCCCAGGTGGAGTCACTCAACAAGTAGTTTGCAAATTTGTCAACCACCTCCAAAGTGTTCAAGTGTGAATGGTGCATTGGCGACCACAACACCGTCGAATGCAATTTGATAGCCTCGATCCATCGCCACACATGTTGATCGTGTAAAAAATCCTTAAAGGGGAGGAAATCCCTACCACAACACCTACAATCCGGGGTGGAGTAACCATCCAAATTGTTGCTGGTCCAACCAAGGGCAACAACAAGCCCCACCCGAATTCAACTAAGCGTCCTCCAGCAAACAAGCATCCTCAATCAATCAGAAGCATCAATATCAACAACCTTCTCCATAAGAGAAGAAATCCAATCTTGAGGACATGATCGGCTAATTCATCTCCATCGCTGACTCCAAATTTCAAGCTTTGGAAAAATTCATCTCTATCTCTGAAGATCGCTTCCAAAACCTTGAAGTAGGCCAGAGCCATCTTCAAGCTTCAGTACACAATCTGGAGACAGAAGTTTATCAAATCACCAAGCTTCTATCAAAAGGCAGCCTTCCAAACAACACTGAAATAAATTTAAAGTAGAAATAACACAATGCCATCTTTGTCCTCAACTCTCCAAACTCAAATGTGAAGGAATCACGTAAGGTCATGGAGTGCATAGGTGAAAAAATGGTGCAATCAACTACTCCACCACCACCTGCCACACAAAAGAAGGAACGAAACCAAGATCAAGCACCACCAAAACCAGTCATCCAACCATATCAACCGAAGTTGTGTTCCCATCACGCCTACATCGAGACAAATTCGAAGAATACTTTGGAAAAAGTTGTTTAATATGCTGAATCAAATCATGTCAACATGCCATTCATGGATTTGGTGTCTAATGTCCCTATTACGCTCATTTTTTGCAGGAGATCCTCTCAAAAAAGAGAAAAATTGATGAGTGTGATTTGGTTGCAATCATTGGAGATTGCACTGCCATTGTCCAAAACAACATACCACAAAAAATGAAGGATCACGACAGCTTCACCATTCCATGTCAATTTGGTAACCTTTCTAACTCTAATGCTTTGGCCGACTTAGGAGAAAGTATTAATGTCATATCATATAAGCTCTTCAAAAATTTAGGCTTAGGAAAATCTCAACCAACTTGCATGCACTTACAACTAGCGGATAAATCTGTGGTTATTCCTAAAGGAATTGTTCAAGATGTGTTGGTCAGAGTAGGACCTTCTCTCTTCCCTATTGATTTCGTGATTTTGGATATGGAAGAAGAAAGTGAATTATCTGTTATTCTGGTCGTCCGTTTCTATCAACCTCTAGAGCTTTGATAGATCTTCCTGAAATAAAATAATTTTGCCAATTAGAAGATGAAAAATTCACCATTAAAATGTCTGAACCAACCCATCCATCGAATGAATACAATGTTTCAAAAATAACTTTTGATAAATCCATGCTTAATTCAACCATTAAATAAGCTAATGATGTTGTGGTGTTTCCTCATGACAATTTTCCCCACAAATCCAAGAATTATGTGAATGATACTCTTGCGAGGCCTAGCACAATGAACTACAGTCCAACTAAGACAATATTAAATAAAATCTTATTAGGAGGCTACCCAATTCTCGGTTTGCATTTTTCTTTCATTTTTTTAAATTTTCTATTTCTTTGAGGTTTTCAATTTCAAGAATAAAATTCGGTAAACCCAGCTCCATCTCTTTGGCGAATGTGAGTAGGCGACTCGGCTATGGAGAGCTTCGGAGCTAAAGAGTTGTTTCCAAAATGGATGCGATGGTGGCTTCTATGGTTGGACTCGCAAAATATTGGAAAATAATGAGGACAACGTAGTGGAGATGTGGAGTGTACTAATGTGGTTCTTCTGGAAAGAATGAAATGCTCACCTGTTTAATGGCAAAAACTAATAGATAATGAGATTATACACAAATATAAATTTACACAAACAACTAGACTTGTTTAATGCTCACCTGTTTAATGGCAAAAACTAATTGATAATGTGGAGTGTGCTAAAAACTACTGTGGTTCTACGTCACCCAATATAATTTTCTTTCGTAAACAAATTAGTTCTTTTTCAAATGGACAAAATAAATAATTTTCGAAGTAAAAGATCCTACCCAATATCAAAATAGTCAAATCTAGCTTCGATTCCTATCAACAAAATGCAATACTGAAAAACTAATGTAAACATACTCAATCCAAGAATTGTGAAACCGTATCGGTGGTTATACCGAAACAATCAGTAGTAGTATATTTTGTACTAAAATAGTGATTGAAGCGGGGGTCAACTGTTTCTTAAATTTAAAACTGCCTTCCATTTTGTCTCCGATATCTGTTACTTACAGTTCGAACGATCAGTACGATAGGGTTTCTAAAACAATAATTCAATCTAGAGAGATTTGTGAAAAATTAAAAACCATTTATCCGCCATACAAAAGGCGAAGATCCCAAATAACACTAGGGTTGGGAAAATAGACCAAACCGTTAGAAAAACTATGATCCAAACCGGACCGCATAGTTTGGTCCAAACCGTAGACAGTTAAGTATGGTCTGGCCTGGATCATGGTCTGTATTATATGATTGATCTCTTGTTTTGTGCTGGTCTTGACCGCGGTTTACTGGACAAAACCGTGGACCCAACCGACTTGTCAATAAGTGTTATAAGCCCACTCGACCACTCTTCCAACTTCCACAACGAGACCCAAGTTCTCAACCCTAATTTTGAGAGTCTCGTCTCCTCCTTCATTCGCCACCACATTTCACCAGAGAGTATAGACAATCATGTCTCAACACGACATTATGTTAATGTTTATGACGTTATGGTGCAAATTGGGATGTTTTGACTTTGTATCTTTGTTATTTACTTGAGATATAGGGTGTCAAAATTATTCATGTACTTGCCTAATTGTTCAATTTTTTGTGCAGTTGACTAAACAAATTGTTCATTTTTTGTTCAGTGTGGTCTATCAAGACCAGACCGTATCATATCAGACCGCACATACGTGGTCTAGTCTGGACCATATAGTATGTGGTCTGGTCTATGATCTATACTCCAACCTCTCAGTCTAAATTGTAGAATGTGTATATAGTCCGGTCTAGACCAGACAACACCGTTTCTCAACCCTAAATTACACAACCCATTTGAATAGCCCTTTCTAGTAAAATTGTTTCAAGCTAACGTACACCCGACGTATGTTATACGCCTGTGTTCACACTTATTAATATTTTAAATTAATTATAAATAAATCAAAAATTACAATTACAATCACACCTATTAATTTAATTTTTATACGATTTAGTCCCAAACTCAGACCCAACCTCTTTCCATGTATCATCTTCCTTGTTAAAAGTGAGAGACTTCAATTTGTCTCCATTCCTCATCCCTTCCTTGGACCGTGACTTTCTCGATTCCTTTCTCTCATCTCCCATCACAATCCATCCACCATTGTCTTTTGCGTGCTTCAAATGTCCAATACATATTATTATTCTTTCAGAAATTTCCAGGTATCAACGACCGTTGCACGGACTTCGCCCCTGTTCCCATAAATCCAGAAATCGAACATGCATCAGCCTAAATTCTCCTTCCCTGCATAGACAAATTCAATCTTCACGGGGGGTTTGGAGAGGCCGCCGGCCATTAGAAGACGATTTCGAGTCGGAGATCTGTAGGGGAAGGATTGCGTCGGGAAAGAGATCTGCAGGGGAAGAGTGGAGCTAGATAATATTGTCGTCGGGTCCCCGGCACCGTTGGATTCTTGCTATCAGTTGAAGATCTTGGATCGAATCCGACGCGGAGTGTCGACTTCGGTGGCAGCTACCCGAATTCAAAACGCGCTGCTCTTGATCGGAGCTGGAGTCGCCACCGTAAGCTCCTTCTATCGCTCCCCTAAAATCAACGACCCTAAAATAAAATAAAAGACAGATTTTTGGACTGGCAGACATTGATTCTTTCTTGTCACCACTGGCGTTATGCTTCCTTCTCACCACCAGCCGAGTTGATTCTTCCTTGCCGGCGTTGAGTCCAACTGGAAGTACATAGTTGAAGGTCATTCTTTGGGCATATCACAAAACCACAAATTGAAAGCCCCACAATACTCGCAATCTAAATTCCCCCCTCTCACATTCATCGCCATTTCCAGACACACGCCAAACTGCCACAACCACCACTACTCCCACCCTGTTAGTTCATATCCCTTTTCACTTTTTCGCTTCTCTCACAATTTGAAATGGCAGTTGTAGTTTTGTAGATCATTGTAATTTGTGAAGTTTGTGTTTCAAATACTATAATTTATACGATTGTTAGTTAAATAATTGATTTGAGTAGAATGTATGATAAAAATTGAAACATGACTAAAACGTAAACAATAATTAATGAATGTATATAATTGTAATTATATTTATGAATAATAAATAACTTAATTAAAAATAATTAATTAATAAGTGTGAACGCAGGTGTACGCTAGCATTTGCCATATATTTGGTGCCTTCTACGGTACCCCGGGTGAAATTCGGGGAACCGCATACCTTGAGTATGAAAACGCTATCTAGACTTCAAATTAGCAGGATTTTTGGGCATGATACTATACCCTAACCCTTAATTAGTGAATCCCAGGTCCTAATTATATAAATCATAAACTATAAATCCTAAGATGGTGCATTGATTTTTTAGCCTATATTTGGACGAATCATAACCATTGATTTTTTCTAAATAAATTGATCTTGGGGTATAAGATTTAGAGAATTAGACCTAATTTTGATCTTTAAAGGTTAGAGTATAGTATCATGTCCGAAAGATCAGTCAATTCAAGTTTTAGATAGCGTTTTCTTACTCATGGTATACGGTACCCCGGATTTTACCCAGGGTACCGTAGAACTCGCCATATTAAAACAAGTTATTTGCAAAGACACGATTCCTATGCACCAAGAGTGAGTTTACTGTTGCCCTAGACTCGAAATTCCTGTTCATTTAGACTCAAAATTACTATTCACCTTCTTCCCATTGGTTTATACTCTGCGGTGGGCCCCATTGCGCTTTGTCGAACTGGATGAAAGCGTATTTATTGCCTTGCCGCCGCTTTTGGCTTTCTTTGGGAACACTCCTGTTAGCTGCAGGTGCTTGCTTTGGAGAGTGCGCCGCCCTCAAATCAACTCTGATATCCCCTTCTTCCTCTCGCTTTTACTGTAAAAGAAAAATTGCCTCTGCTTTTCCCCTTCTCTCTATTGGAGTTTCTGCTGGTGCCTTTGTTGAGAGAGGCTGAGATAAGTGGTTTTTTCTAGGTCCTCAAAGATTTACATTGGCTGGGGTCATTGGTCTGCTGCCCGATGTGGCCTGACGGGCGCGATCATCGATGCTTTTTCATCATCGTTGTCTCGGGGAAATGTGAGCTTGGGAGAAGATCTCCATTGAGAGACAAGTCGTCACGCTGCTCAATGCACACAGAGAGGCGAAAGAGTCTACTATCTACTTTTGCTCTGTACTTTCTTTCTTAGCCACATATATTTCCTTTATTAAAAAAAGAAAGCAACTCTCTCTCTCTCTCTCTCTCTCTCTCTATGTCGAGTTTAGAATAGAAAGCGTCCCTCCTTTTGGTCCCTCAATTCTCCTCTTTTGAAACTCTCTCTTCCCATCTCGCTCCTGGATTTGTTACTGCACAGATCGAGCCAAGCTTTGTTGTTCTTCAATTCATTGCCAAGCATCGTCATCTAGGTCGCAGGTGCTGGACCCCCGGCTGGCGGATGAGGTAGACGAGAGAATCCCTCTCTCCCATGGACGCGAAGCTTTGGATCATAGAATCTCATTTTTTTCTCTATTTTAGGTTGGTACAACGATTTCTTCCTTTCTGTGTTGTCTTCTAGCCGGTCGTGGTCTTGTGGGCTATAAGTGTGTTGCGAACACCTTCTCTGACGACGAAGAGATTCCTCTGTTGTGGGGAAAACACGGAGAAGACCTCGAGGCGCCAGATCAGCTGCACCTCTTAATTTAAAGATCAACGTTGGGCGTGATAAAGAACAACCTTCCTATTCTACTGCAACCCACTTTCTCACACTCCTCACTACTTGCTTTCTGTTACAACAGCTAGTTGGTGCCCTTGTAAATCTCTTTTCAATTCCTTACCTCACGTGTACATGTACTATATATATTGCTGAGATACTGAATAATAAACACAAGCCTTAGAGCATCTTTATGGTATCAGAGCCTATTCTCTAACGAGCTCTTCTATTTTTCTTCCTTTCTTTCTTTTTCCCTACACATTGCTACCATGTCTTCTGACTCTTCTCCTCAATCTTCAACCTCTCCGTCTAGCGTCTCCAATGCTACGCTATCCTCCTCTTTCACTCTCACCCTCCCTGCTAATCCCCAGCTATCCATAAAACTTACCCCCACCAATTATTTATTGTGGCATGCTCAAATAACCCCTCTCCTTCGCTGTTATCATCTCATGGGCCATGTTGACGGTACGCTTCCCGCTCCGCCACAGATTCTCAACGACCAGCCAAATCCGGCCTACCTACGTTGGTATGATCGTGATCAGCTAGTCCTCATCTGGATTACCCATTCTCTGTCCGAGGCTGTCATGTCCAACATCATCAACAAAACCACTGCCTTTGATGCGTGGTCGGCCTTAGCCCGGATCTATGCTTCTGGTTCCAAAATCTAGATCCGTCATCTCACCAAGGAGCTGCAACATTTGCGTCGCGGTGATGTGGGTATTCATGAATACCTCCAAACGGCAAAATCGAAGGCTGATCAATTGGCTGCTCTTGGGGCACCCGTTCGTCCTGACGATCTTATCGGTTGGATTACGGATGGCCTTGGTGAAGATTATCGGCCCTTTGTTCGTCACTTGGAATCCAAGATGGAGCCGATCTCCTTTGAAGATCTACACTCCCTTCTCCTCAGTGAAGAGTCCCAGATCAAGCGCTTCAACAATGTCTCTTTCCCTTCCACGCCGACTGCCTTCTTCTCTCACCCTGGTGGTTTTGGTGGTTCGCGTGGCCGTGGCAGCCGAGGACGCGGCCGTAGCGCCGGCAGAGGCCGTGGCTTCTTTTCCCCTAATACTTCTTTTGCTGTTTTGTTTGACAGGCCAGCAGCGGGCTTGCTTGGGGCTAGGCCCAATGTTTCTCACCAGCATTTGGTGTGTCATAACTGTGGTGGTAAAGGGCATATCCGCCCTCATTGTCCGAGCCCATCAATCCCCTCCGGCCCATCTCAGCATCACGCGCCCTCAGCCCAATCCGCCCCTATTTCACAGTCTGGGCCCTCTCATTTTTCTCCTGGTCCACATGCCTATTTAGCATCCAGCCCGGCCCAACCTTTTAATCCTCAGCAGTGGCTTGTCGACTCCGGTACAAGCCATCACTTGACTTCCGATTTGGACAACTTAGCCCATCACTCTGAATATAATGGTACTGATCAGGTCCTGTTTGGCAACGGTAACTCCCTCCCTATCTCTCACTCTGGTTCTTCTCGTGCTGCCTTATCCACTGCTTCTCTCTCTCTTGATAATATCCTCCATGTCAAAAATGCTCCATACAACTTATTGTCCATTAGTTCACTCACTCGTTCTAATCCGGTCTCCATTGAATTTTTCGACTCTTCTTTTGTTATCAAGGACCGTCACACGAACGCTGAGTTGTACCGCGGCTTTGCAGTGGATGGACTTTATTCACTGCCCCTCCACGTGACCCGCCGTCTCTCTCCTCAAGCCTGTCTCGCCTCCCTCACCACATGGCACCACCGTTTTGGTCATGCTAATTTGCCGGCTGTCAAAAGTGCTCTTCGCCACCATCAAATAGATTTTGTCTCTAGTCCCTCTTCGTTATGTCATGGTTGTGCGGTTAGCAAAATTCACAAACTCCCATTTCCCGTTTCCACGTTCAAAGAAAATGCTCCTTTAGAATTGGTATATGATCCACGATTGAACCTCTCCCAACAACTCGAGTTATTGGGAGCAACTGGTTCTTGACATGGTATCTGAGCCTTCTATGACCGAGAGGTCTTGTGTTCAATTCCCGGTGACCCCCATTTGTTAAGCACATGGTATTCTTGTCTTCAGACATGTGCAAACTTCAAGCCCTTGTGAATGACTTTCGTTTGAGGGGGCGTGTTAGTGTTGTGGTATATGATCCACGATTGAACCTCTCCCAACAACTCGAGTATTGGGAGCAACTGGTTCTTGACAGGGCGATGCCCAAAGAAGACATCCACGAGAGGAGAATCAGCTTGTGAGCCCCGAAGTTATATGGTGAGAACTTGATGGTTTTGTTTTGTCTATTTTTTGTGTGATGTTTAGCTTTTCCAACTGGGTTTGTAATTCTTTTTCTATTTTCCATGAAATTGCAGGCGATGATTTCCTGGTAGAGATTCCGGTGGCTGGCGGTGGTTGTTGAATCCCAGGTAGAGGCTAACAAAGGTGGAGGTTTGCTTGGATTTGAGGAGTAATCGAGTGAAAATCCCAAAGTGAGGAGTAATCGAGCGTGGAAGGATTTTGTCCAAGATTTATAGTTGTTGATCAGGTGATCGTTTTCTCTCAATCTTCATCTGGCTTATCTATTTGTCTTTCTCCCCCAATTGATTTGATTGATTGATCTTGAAGGAGATATCGACGAGTTCATTGTAAGAAATCCGTTCGTTGGCCTTCGGGAAAGGCCACGATGTCATGGGTAGTGGATCAATGGGGACAAGTGATATGGTGCTGGAATTCTTTGTGCAACGTGAAGGTTTCGAAACATATTGATGGTTGTGATTTTACTGGCCTCTAAATACTTTGATGAGTTTCTCTCTTTGAGTTTCGTTTGACACTGTAGTTTTATGTTGCAGATTCGCTATGGAGGGAAGCACCGCGAATGGCGACAACATCCACGACTGAGAGAAATCAAGCTATTGTTCCATGATGGGGAAGATCCATAGCGTAAGACGACCGGATCCGCGGAGGCAAGGAACCAGCGGAGGAATTCCCATGACATGTAACTCCCTCACTCAGTTATTTATCCCAATTTACGTTATATGGATCAATTAATTTTTCGTGCTGCTTCTAAAAATGGTTTGTGCTGCAGAGTATATAAGCGGTGGAAGTTTAGCACGTTGAGGAGCCCGCGTCGGAGCTGGTGTATTTGTGTACTAACTGGTCTCTCTTTCACTTCGGCCTTCAACCATTTTTCTATATGGACACTTTCTAGGTTCTGGGTTCAATTTTCCTTTGAGGTCATTGTTGCACTAATGGTATGAAACTTCAACTAGAGTCAGTTGTCCTGTCATGAA